GGATTTATGGTTTGCCTCTTCCCCCATCCATGTTCATCTGTTTTGTTCCTTACATTTATTTTTTTTTAAATTTTTTTTCAACGTTTTTTATTTATTTTTGGGACAGAGAGAGACAGAGCATGAACGGGGGAGGGGCAGAGAGAGAGGGAGACACAGAATCGGAAACAGGCTCCAGGCTCTGAGCCATCAGCCCAGAGCCCGACGCGGGGCTCGAACTCCCGGACCGCGAGATCGTGACCTGGCTGAAGTCGGACGCTTAACCGACTGCGCCACCCAGGCGCCCCTATTCCTTACATTTAAGAAACAAATATTTTCTTTAAAGATCCATGCTCTGCCTTGTGTTGTTAAAAATTGGAACACAAAAGAAACTAACAGGTATCAGTGTATAGACTGTGCATGGCATTATTCTCTTTGTTCCATGTAAGAATCATTTGATTCTTAAGACTCCCATAGTAGAATTATTATTATCTGAATTTTAAGGAGGACAAAAAGAGAAAAATAGGAATTAAGCAGATTGTCCAAGGTCACACAGCCAGCAAAGGAAAATGTCTTAATATGAACACAAGACTGCTTAGATTTAAATCTTTACACTTTTAAAAATTTTAATTCGTCTCATTATCTTAAAATTAACAGGAGCTAATGAGATGTTTCTACAAATATCTACAATACATTTAAATGTACGTTTATTTGGGGGCGCCTGGGTGGCGCAGACGGTTGAGCGTCCGACTTCAGCCGGGTCACGATCTCGCGGTCCGTGAGTTCGAGCCCTGCATCAGGCTCTGGGCTGATGGCTCGGAGCCTGGAGCCTGTTTCCGATTCTGTGTCTCCCTCTCTCTCTGCCCCTCCCCCGTTCATGCTCTGTCTCTCTCTGTCCCAAAAATAAATAAAAAACTTTGAAAAAAAAATTTAAATGTACATTTATTTGGAGAGATTCTAAAGTCTCAAAATTGACACCTCTTCTCACTCTTAACACTCTCCATGGGCTTCTCATCAACATGGACAACTGCATTTGTCATCCATCAGCCAATGACCTCCTCATGTGCACATTCAGTCCAAAACTCTTTTTCTAAACCTATGTATTTGATCTGTTTAAAACCCTGTGAAAAGCTCATAAGGTAAAAACCAAACCCTTAAAAAGAGTCTCTAATATTATAAAAGGTCTTGTACTTGTCTACCTCTTTCTAGTTTCTTTCTAGCTATCCTCACAATTTTCTCACCCTTACTTTTCAAAATCTTGTGGATTTCTTTTATTGTTAGGTTTATTTATTATTTGAGAGAGCCAGAGACAGCACAAGTTGGGGAGGGGCAGAGAGAGAGAGGGAGAGAGAGAACATCCCAAGCAGGCTCCACACCATAAGCACAGAGCCCGACATGGGCCTCGAACCCATGAACTGTGAGGTCATGACCTGAGCCGAAACCACAAGTCAGACACTCAACCAAGTGAGCCACTCAGGCACCTCAAAATCTTGTGGATTTCTAAACTGTGTTGTGTTGCCTTCTGATACATGTTACTGTGCCAGGAAATCAATTCACTCTGTCTACACTATCCACCACTATCAACCACACATGCACTCTCTCTCTCTCTCTCTCTCTCTCTCTCTCTCTCACACACACACACACAGACACACACACCTTCAGAAGCTTAAATCTTATCTTCAGACTTGAATTTCAAGATCATATTGTCATAGGATCTCCCCCAGATCCACCCAAGACTAGACCAGATCTTATTATTGTGCAGCATAGTAGTATCAGTAATTTTCTTTTTTTCAGAGTACTAGCTGTTTGTAACTGAGCATGGTTGTTTCATGATTGCCATGCTACAATGTAAGCTCAGGAGAGTGAGACTTTATCTTTTCTGTTAATTCTTATATCCCTTACACTTATCACAGTCTAGACACATGAAATAGTGCTTGAATGAATGAATGAATGAATGAGCAAGCAAATGGTTAAAATAGGGAAAGAATGATATAACATGCAATAAGATTTCAAAGGTGAGAGATTCACTCACTCCTCACTTCACTACTTAGAGAATGTTTTATCGAAAATGTGACAATTGAAATGTATCTTTAAAAGATATGGGGAATTTTGAAGACAGAGATGGGTGAAGTACATTGCAGTTTGATCAAAGTGGTTTAGCAAGAACTAAAAGTATTGCATCAAAGTAGTGAACGATAAGTTTAGGAGTTATTAGCGGATACACACCACTTATTCTCCTCCCTTTAGAGTAATATTGAAAAGCTAATCTTAGGAAGAGAAGAAATAATAACTCTGTTGTTTAGCAACTGAGTTGAAGATGACAGTCACTAAATTAAGATTAATGCATTGCTAGTAATTTAGAAATAGTTCTTTATTAAAATGATATTCAGCTATTAAAAACCATGAACAAGAAAACATAGAATATATGAATTGAAATAGATTCAGAGATCATTTAGCACTACTCTTTAAATGGACAGATGAGGATGTGATCTAGCCTGATGAACGGACATGCATGAATTAGCAAAATGGGTGAGTAATAAAGACAGGATTAGAACTCAGGTCTCCCCATTGTCAGCCTAATACATTGGGGATAAAAAGCCCTGTAAGAAAAACACTTGCCAGTGGTAAGTTCATATCATACTTAGCAATAGTCATCAATAAAAATAACTGCCTACTATAACAAAAAAGTAATTAATAAATCCTAAAACATTATGTTGAACTAGAGTCCAAACACAAAAGTATATAGACTGTATTATTCCCTTTATGAGAAGTTCTAAAACAACAAAAACAAATCTATAATGATGAAAATGAAAGTAGTTGTGTATAGAGTTAGGCAAGGGGGATTTAACTGAGAGAGAAAGTAAAGAAATATCTGGGGTATTGACATGTTATATAGTTTGATTGAGGTTGGTGTTATGTGGGTTTATATATTTATCAAAATGTGTCATACTGAAGCATCTGTGCTTTTTAAGGAATGTAAATCATACCTCAATAAAAACCCCCTATTGCCATAATCATATTATACACTAATTCTATTTAAATAAAGGCTAAAAGTCGGGACACCTGGGTGGCTCAGTGGGTTAAGCATCTGACTCTTGATTTCAGCTCAGGTCATGATCTCGTGCTTTGTGGGTTGGAGCCCCACGTTGGGCTTTGCACTGACAGTGCAGAGCCTGCTTGGGATTTTCTCTCTCTCCCTCTCTCTGCTCCTCTCCCACTTGGTCTCTCTCTCTCTCTCTCTCTCTCTCTCTCTCTCTCTCTCTCTCTCAAAAATAACTAAACATTTAAAAAATTTTTAAATTAGGGGCGCCTGGGTGGCTCAGTTGGTTGAGCTTCGGCTCAGGTCATGATCTTGCAGTCTGTGAGTTCAAGCCCCCCATCGGGTTCTGTGCTGACAGCTCAGAACCTGGAGCCTGCTTCGGATTCTGTGTCTCCCTCTCTCTGCCCCGCCCCGCTTATGTTCTGTCTCTCTCTCTCTCTCTCTGTCAAAAATAAATAAACATTAAAACAAAATTGTTTTTAAATAAAGGCTAAAAGAAAAACTGATTGCCTGATTGTGCTAACTGGCCAAATATTTAGATAGATAGATAGATAGATAATAGATAGATAATTGATATATGTGTAGTTAAGATATATGCATAGATACAATAATCATCTCTGTACTTCTAGTTTGTATTGTAGCCTAATACAAGTAATGACCCATTTTGACAAATAGGTTATTAACTACTAAAATTATAAAAAAGGATAAGAAACCTAAGAATTACTTTATAAGTCTGTTTGGACCTACTTTTTTGTTTTGATAGGTTTTCACTTGTGTGATAAAGGATAGGCAAAGGAAACAGAGTTTTCCTTTGCACTACCATGGGTGCACTACCATATATATTTTTTTATTCCATTGAAAAAAATCTCATCAAAATGCCAGTGTAGATTTCTAGACTTCTCTGAAAATCTCCTTTCGCTCCAAATATGTTGTTGGGAGTACTTCTTCCCTGATTTTATCAACTGTATTCACCGGCTACCAAGTGCATAATCGAGATAGAGGAGATATAACAAGAAAAGAGACAGGCATCTCTTCACCATTTGTGAGCGTAATGAACCCCTTCATCTGATCTTATTATAATTGCGCCACCTCTGGCACTGGTCTTTGGATCTGCCCCCAGTTATGCCAACATTAATTTCTGGGCATATTGATGCATAATCTTAGCTGGCAAATCTCTACTCTCCAGGCCTTCTGTTTATTGTAATATCGATGAGGTTTTCCTTTTATAGCTCCCTCTCTCTAGAGGTAAACAGATTTGGTTAAAAACAAAAGAGACTATTAATTAGCATCTTTCTAAAAAGAAGACTATTTTGTGCTGGTTTTTAATTCTCTGACATAGATCGTTTTGTCTTCGTCTCACTGCTTCTGTTTCGTTTCTATGACTGTTTTTATAAAACTCATGCCTGTTTACTCAGATTGTGACAAAAGATAAGCATATTCTGTTTGTATTTTTCAAGCTCATTTTGACACTTAAGAACACGTTCTACCAGTTGAGCACGGTTCTGTCCTTTATCACACTCAGTATTAGAAATGGTATTTATCAGTTAGTAAATCACACATGTTCAGTATGTGCACTTAACCACAAAAATGGGTGCGTCGAGATAGAATGATCACAAAGACATCTCCAACTCAGTAAAATGATAGGTCACTCTTGCCTGAAAGAAAGAACATCTTCCTCTCTTATGTGGGAGAAAAGATAATTTGTCTTTCTTACTTTGTTTAAATGAAATAGCTAGGCTAGTCTGTAGGGTTTTCTCTCTGGATCTGTAAAAGAATTTCCCAAAGGCAACAATTAAAGAACAAATTTATGTACATAAAATGACTATGTGACAGAGAATTCTGTTTATTTTAGTTATCCTTGATTTGGTTTGCCACTCTATAGATCTAATCATTTGGAGAGAGTTTAGTTATGCAGATCGATAATTGAATTTTAGAGTAGTCCAAAAGCGTGTTATTGCTTTCCAAATTGCAGAAGAAAATGTACCTGATTTGCTTCTCCCAGGTAAATTTAATCAATATTTCTCTGGTCCAGCTTCAGATACTCCATCTAAAAGTGACGAGGAAAATTCCAAAGTTCAGTAAGGAGTTTGTTCCTTGACATCAGTAAAGTAACTGCTTACTAACTTTTTCTTTCCCATTTTGAGCTTATATATGGAGAATTTACCTGCAATTTCATAAGGAAGCACATGTTTCTAACTTAATACACAGCTAGAATCTGTATTTTTCTTTTTTTTTTTTTTAATTTTTTTTTTCAACGTTTATTTATTTTTGGGATAGAGAGAGACAGAGCATGAACGGGGGAGGGGCAGAGAGAAAGGGAGGCACAGAATCGGAAACAGGCTCCAGGCTCTGAGCCATCAGCCCAGAGCCCGACGCGGGGCTCGAACTCACGGACCGCGAGATCGTGACCTGGCTGAAGTCGGACGCTTAACCGACTGCGCCACCCAGGCGCCCCTAGAATCTGTATTTTTCAATGAAAAGTACCGGACAATTAATTTGGGTGGGCTTAAATGTGCATTAATTCATTGCTCATTTTGATCCACCTTGGGGGCTAATTTGGAAAATATACCACATTAACCTACCACTCAGAGATAATTGCTGAATGTATTTCAAGAGTTTGAAATCATCCCATTACGTACATTTCTACCTTCTTATTTCCATTTGAGCCAATGAAAGGTAAAATGTTAAGTAGGATGAACTAATTATTCCAGGAGAACATTTAAAAAGATGTTTCTCTGCATTTAGTCAAGGGTTCTGCACAATGTAATAATAGATTGCTACTGATGACTTTGATTATTATACTCATGTTGAATGGCAAGGCATTTCAAAAACATTTCTGGAAAAGATTGGCTTAAAGAAAGATACAGGTAACAATAAATCATGATTCAAAAGGTTATCCTACTAGTAAACTACTATGTGATACCTGTTTTTTCAAAGGTACAAATTGTTTCTAAACCTTCAGTGATTCCTGTGATGATAAAATATGTTTGTCAGTCTTTGACTTCTCTAGTTAATATTTTGTTTTTATCATATTTTAATACTTAAAGTTTACACAGCATTCAATATAGATTGAAATAAGAAATTTTTCATGGATACCTATAACTTTGCAATAGTTTCTTAGTTTTTCTTTTTAAAACAAACCAGTTCACAAACATTAAACGGACCACAGACCCCAGGGAACTAACCAATCAAACAATTAACTTTCTCATTAACAAGTTTCACAAGGCATGTAAGTTAAAAAACAACAGTAATAACAAATCTTTATTTCTGAAATGTTAAATCATACTGTGTTGCCTGTCATTTCAAGTTATAACCTGTCCCAAATTCACAGAATCTCAGACATGCCCTGCAAACTGAAAATAAAAATGGCCTTGAGAAAGGAAATCAGATTTCAAATGTCTAAACAATTAACATGAAACCTGAAATATAAGAATAATGCCTTATATTATTTAGAAATTTCTCTCAATCCTGTTATTTTTAAGATCTCTGAATTTAAGAAGAATGCTATAGAAATAAACACTTGTCTCTAACCTTCACTAGAAGTGCATTTTAGGGTAGTTATCAGATTTAAAAAATAGGTGTCAAGTAGGAAGGAGACTAGTCTAAGCAGTTGGCTGCTGAGCAGATGGGCAAAATGAGGGTAGGGGTAGCTGGAAACAAGAATCTGAAATCCAGTATAAATTTGGCTAGCAAGTGATGACATAATTGCAGGAAAAATCTAGATGGAGTAAATAGGCAGCAAAAAAAAAAAAAATGCAAGTTATCTCATATGATTGCAAGTCAAAAAGAAGATCATGTAAGCAGAAGTATCTAGGAAAAAACCCTCAAATTTCTTATTAAATGAAGGTACTTGAAATTAAGAGAACAGCCAATGTTCAATTTTAAATATTTATTGATTGTTTTCTATGTAACAAATTGGTAATGACAGTGAATATATTAGAGTTTCTGTCCTAAAAATATCTCACAATCTAGCTGATGCTCACATCTGTATGTTTCTTTAAAATTCAGCATAGGGGTTTAGTTCTGCTGGTTCTTGATGGCTGACCAGGTTAATTAGAAACAATCACCTTAGTGAAGAGAGTGAGAAAACTTGACATCACTGTACACACACACACACACACACACACACACACATATACATATATATATATA